ACTGTAGTTTTCTTAAGTGAGGAAAGAGGACATGTGATCAACTCCTTTAGCAGAAAAGGCTCCCTTGAGTCTTCTCTTGAACTCCTTCCTATGGGGCTCCCATGCTGGAGTTGAAATTTATGACATCTGAGGGATATTTGGCAACTCACAATGTGTTCCGCCACTAGCCCTCAAGCTCCCAAACATAAATTAAGAGATAATTTAAGAGTCTTAGCTAACTATCCTCAAAGCTCCTATACCTCTTAAAGATTGAGGCATTCTCTAACTATATATTATTGGTTCTTGCTTTGAATTATGCAAACAAACAAGAAAGTTTATAGCCTCTCTAATTTGGTAAAATACAAATGAGTACCAACTGATGTAGTGGGTGATGTTAGCACATTTCCTGCAGAGTGACAACATTAGGGAATGGTTGTGATCATGCAGCAGCATAGGTTTTGGGTCCTCAACACCAGAGACTGGAAAATATGGCTTCTGATGAAAAATAATCAATTGTTTTGGCGAAGGCAATGGCTCCATCAGGCTTTAATTAAAAAAACCTTTCATTTGTGCCTTACTGGTATCTTAAGTAAGATCCTTATCGTTGCTAGATGTTTCTGGAATGAACTAACTTGTTTAGTTGGTTTTCCTGGGTATTTGATTGGTAGCAACTAATCTTACTGGTAGGAATAGGATCTAATTGCCAGGTCCTATCTAATGGATTTCGCCTTTACAAATAACAATGCCAATATAACTTAAATACCCCGCAAAATATGTAGGCACCATATCACTAATAACTCTTTATACCATTCAGTTGACTGGTTTCATCTACTCTTAGAATAAATGATACTAAAAACAAAAAAACATACGGATTATAGACATGGTATAAATAAAAAATCCTAGAATTTCTGAACAATGCACAAGACAATTAGCAAGAATGCAATGTAGAACATGAACTGCAGAGTACACCAATAAACAAAATTAGCAAGATTTGAATAATTTATTTCCTTTCTTGCACAATACAAACAGCCAATTATTCAAACAATCATCCCTAATTTAGTACCACCAACTCTTTGCCTAACTTGTCGTCAAAAATCTGAAATTACATAATCAAAGCATAAACGAATTGATCGAAACACGAAAAAAGGGGCAAAACCTCATTATCACTCATCCAACTGTTTCAGCTCAGCCTTCAACTGCTCAATCTTGAGCCCCATCGCCCTCTGCAATGCTGCCTTTTTGTCCTCCGGCGACTTAGCCAATAGCCCATCAAACAGGTCCAGCACTTCCTTCACAGCAGTTCGAGCACACTCTGCCTCTTCATCAAAATAAACAGTCTCTTTGGACTCCATGGCCATCTCTATCTCCTCCCTTGCCTCTGCAAACTTGAGGTTGATCATGTCCACCTCTTTGTTCTGATCAAACCCATCTGCCCCACCGCTGAATTGTCTCAGATTATGACGATTTCTGAACTGGGACGGTGAGTTTGAGAACGTCAGGTGAAGAAAATGGGGGGAATTTGTGGTGGGTTTGTGAAGAAGAAGCTCAGGAGTCTTGGGTTTCGGCAATGGAGCTGAGTCTGAAACGCACTGAGCCGGACTCGTTGTGAGCGAGTTGAGGGAAAAGAGCTTTGGAGAACCATTGAAAGAGCGTCTGAAAAGCAATTTGCAAAGCGAAGCTTGTGAATGTTGATAATGCATTTTCTCTCTCTCCCAATTTGCAGAAGAGGAAATTTATGTAATTACTGAAGCCAAGAGAGGAGAGACTTAAAACCCCCATCATCAGTCTCTACCCAATTAAACCCTAAAAATTTGACAAAATTAAAAATTAAAAATTAATCCCAAAAAATATATTTCTGAACATTTTTCTTTACAAATATATATATTCGTAAATGATATTTACTTTAATTTAATCTAAATTACATAAATATTCTACTTTAATTTAAAAATTAAACCCAAATGGTCAGCCCAAGGCACAAAGTGTTTAAATCAATAAACTTCTAGTTCACGATATTATATGCTTCAATTGTCCTTCTCTAGTAAGAGTAATACTCAAACTCAAGCTCATTCCTAAGCTCGAATAATCTCACAAACCTATGCTTATCTCGGCTTGACTCAACTCGCTTTTGCTTTTTTTTTTCTTTTTTTTTTAAAATTATATAAATTATATGATTGCATTTGTAATTTAGCCAAAATAGCCACTAGACACAAAGGGTCAATATAAACTAGCAACAAAGCGTCATACAATAGCGGAGTAATTTAACATCAAATTTAAGACAATATGGTGCACATCCACTAATAATCACGCAGGATCGAAAAAACTCTGTCATAGACATCCCAACTAAGATTGCAAACTCAAAATAATTAAAAAGAGATAAAGCTTAAAAAAACTAAGTCATAACAATACATATAAAAGTCTCACACAAATGAGAGATGAAAAGCTCTCACAAAATGAGATGTGAAAACTACGCACATAACTCAAAGAGTCTTTGCGACTTTCAAACATAAAGAAACCGCAAAAAGAATGGTGATGGAGATCTGACGTTGAAATGCAGGTGGAGATCTGACGTTGAGACGCAACCGCCTGTGATTGTTGGAAAAAAATCATAACAAAACAAAGACAAATAGGGAAAACCTTTTGTCTCTAAAAATGGTGGAAGAGAAGAGGGGAGAGAGGAGAGGGGAGGATGAACAATGGCTTCCTCCCTTCTCAAAGTGAAAACGGAGTGTTTTTTGATAAAGAGGGGGCTAAGGTTTCTCTTGGCTCAATCTTGGCTCAAATTCATGTCAGTTTTGGTTGTGCTCACATTTTACCCCATGTTTTGCATATTGTCGTCACCTTGACAAGACAATCATTGGGAGAGAAATGACAGTTATTCAAGAACAACGTGAATTAGTGTGGAATGCATCCATTTTTGTCTTATCAAGATAATTTATATGTAAGTTATAAATATGCTAGCATTGATTGACATCTCGAGAGCAAAACCCATCCACCACATGGTACTAAATGACTATTAATGATTATCTTTTGCATGCATGAAGTATGAGTGGCAACCGGCCAGTTCGAGGCCGGGTATGACAATATCATTCTCGTGCCCGTTTCATAACGTCACCTCAATCCCTGCCCCTATCCCCGGTTAGAATATTTTGGGGAATCCTCATCCTCGTCCCTGTCTAGGAAATGCCTCCCAAACCCGCTCCAATTCCATGAATTTTGTATTTTTTTTTAAAATCATTATACTTTATAACAAAATAAATCTGAAATTATAAAAAAAAAAAAAAAAAAAAAAAAAAAAATCTCCTCTTGCATGCTCTTCAAATTGATTCTGTGAAAATAATAAATCTGAGAAAGCCAAGTCATAAGAATATAGCCAAGACAACTAAAAGTGAGAGGGAAAGCAAACTAGAAGCACTTCAGTACAAAAATTCGTGATAAACCCAAAAACCAAAATCAGATCCCAAGATCAAATATTAAAAGAAATTGTTATACGTTATAACAAAAATATTTATTATTTTTACCTGTTATATTATATTATATTTATTAATTCAAAATAAATATGACTTGTTGGGTTGGGTTCGGGGATGGGGATAACAATATAGTATCCCAATCCGTCACTGACCAAAGATTTTTAAAATTTAGGGATCCCCATACCGCCCCTGGTTTTCCCCTGAAATATCCTCCCGTAGGGTCGAGGACCCAATGGGAACTCCTCAGCGGGGATTTTTGTCATCCCTAAAGATAGCTCTATAGATTCTAAAGATTCAACACTCCAGAAGTGGGAGGGATATCTTGTGCGCTCCAACAGAAATCCTGAATGGCTTGTGAGAATGGTTGAATGTGAACAACGTAGAATGAAGAGAAGCCTGAAGAAACTCTGAAAGACAGGGTAAATCAAGAAATCAAATTAAGCTAGTTTAAAAGGTATCTTCTTTTCTGTTATATAGTTCATATAAATTTTCTTGCTGCAAAAGATTACTTTTAAAAATAAAATAAAAAATTATATGCAAGTAATCTCTCTTAATGTTTTTAGCACTTTTGGTGGATGAAGTTGTTACCCAAACTCACCAAAATGCCAACTAACGATCAAGGAAAAAGGCACACAATCACTATGGAACCAGTGGAGGTCAAAGATTACCAAAACCACGCAATATATAAATCCTAACAAATCCTCCAATTTCAACTACTCCTAGTAGGCAATTCTGAAACTATATAAAACTGTGAGACCATAAGTCCATCTCCATCTTCAAATTCATCATGGCTCGCCATCTTCTTTTGACACACCCTGTACCAAGCGCATTTCAAGTCGGCCTGGCCGCGATGACCCTTGCATTTTGTGCCATGGCATTGCTCATGTGTGCATCCCATTCGCGTAAATGGCGTCGTTATTGGAACGCTTGCACTGATTTTTTGGAAGATGATCCTGTTATTGAACACATTCAACCTGGAAACTATGATGCAGACATGGAGGATACTCATAGTGGTGAGCTAGAAGACTCGGTCTGGCAGAAGAACATACTCATGGGTGGTAAGTGTCAGCTACCAGATTTTTCTGGTGTCATAATCTACGACTCTGATGGGAACATTATCAAGCCTGACAAAACTCCTCGTTTAACCTGGAAGTAAACAATAACAAAACGGCGACCACAACTTAGATCTCTGGTTCATAGAAATCTGTCTGCCAATTCAGGATATTGACAGTGTACTGGAATTTCTTTAGGCTTCAATTTGAATGACATATCAATGCCTTTTTTCATAAGTTTTCTTTTCCTTTCCTTTTCTTCAAATCAATGCCTCTTCACAAGATTAAAATCATCTGATGCTATTTATTTAACTACATAGCAAATTTTATGCACCACAGTACATAATTTGATGGAATTTTTTAAATTTTAAAAAAAAAAAAAAACCCCCAAAGCAAGAACCATTATGTACAATTATAGCATGGAAAATTACAACAGCATTGAGTATTAACGTAATGGGATTAGGGAAAAGAAAATGGAAAAAAATCGAGTGAAGAGCAATAAGAAGAATATCATTTTTTTTCTTTTCTTTTGCAAATTAAAGCATTAAAGATTTAATATTACAAAACATTTTAATATGCACATTTTATAGAGGCGCAACTCTGAAAAGGGCGATTAATTGCAAACTTGATCCAAAAGTTCGACTACAATCAGCTGGACGCCACTGATTCTCTCTTGTCAGACCAAGAAGCCCGTCCCCTAAACCCAACAACGCTTAACTTCGAAGCTGTTGATTTAACTACACTCGATCTTCTGCTTTCTGGTTGCCTCTTCCCACTGGAAGAAGCTTTTCTTGAGTTGCTTGGACTGGAAGAAGCTTTTCTCGAGCTGCTTGCACTGGAAGAAGCTTTTCTTGAGGTGCTTGCATTGGAAGGCTTTACCGACTTTGATGCCTGAAAAGATGCTTTTCCGAATTTTGCAGGAGCAGATGCTGACCTGCTCTTATTTTTCTGATTTGAGACTCTTACCAAGTTTCCTTTCAGTGGAGCAATTCGGGAACGGGCAATGTCCCTCTGGACACTATCTACACTGAGCGATTCTAAGCTTTCATTCTTCTTTATTGCCTCCTCAATTCGATTCGCCAACATAAGATTCTTCTTCGCAACCAAACTTGTCACTTTCCCTGTATTACAAGAATTATCTTAATTTTGCAATTAGTACAAGAAAACATACGAGTATACTTTGACACAATTAAGACCTGCTATACAATACCAACAACAAAAAGAAAATGGTTATCACAAACTATGAGAATCACTCCATAGAATCGTCCTGTCATCGAGTATAAAGATAGTCAGCAAATGGACAAATGAATACTACAGAGGTGTAACATTACAAAAGGCTCACTTTACATAAGTGTCTTTTTTTTCTTTCATTTTCCTTTTTGCTGTTTTATGCAAAGTGAAAATTAATCTTACCATGGAATACTTTCAATAGTCTCTTTGTTTTTTATTTATTCAACATCATAATATTAAAGATATCTTATCTTCCCTGCAATATCTTGTCCATCAAAATCTGTTGCATGGAATTGATTAAAAAATATATATAAAAAAACAAACAGTGCAAAAGAGTCGGTGAAGTCGAGCACAGATGAAGCATTCCCATTAACTCTTACGAACTTCACTAATGAAAAAAGTAAGGAAACAATATCTTTTTCAGAAGTGCAAGTAGAAAATACATGTATACCTTTTGCACCCATACGAGCAGTTCTTCCAGTACGATGAAGGTAGTCAATCTAAAAAGCCCAAAGAGAGGTAAAAGTTTAAGCTCCAAAGTAGAAAAAGGAAAGAAAAAGAAGTCTTTAATACAATGTCAAATTAGTAGATACTGAAAAACAAAGCTGATATCTCATGCTTACAGAGTTCAAGGGAAAATCAAACATGATAACGTGGTCTACATCCAAGTCCAGTCCCCTTGCAGCCAGGTCTGTGCAGACTAATGTGGGGCAATCTCCATCGTCACTCTTAAACTTTTTGAGGTTTTCAACCCTGTGTTGCAGTGTTAAAAGAATGCAGTCAGGCTAAGCACTAAAATTGAACACTAGTGATGTACGTTGGTTGAAGTGTAGTAGAACAAGAAGAACATTAACTGTTGAAATGATCAATTCATACAAACTGACTGAAGGTCCCGGTTCAGTAATTTTCTATATTAATTTCTCTTTGTAGACATTGTCTAACAAGAGAACATTGTCTAACATAGAACAGGGAAAGAATGGAGGAAATTAAAAGAAAACTAAAGCTGAAATTTATGACAACTACAATTGTAACATCGTATTCTCAATATAAATAGGAAAAACTACTGATATTGATAAATACTCCTCCCTTACTGAATGAAAATAAAAAGTATATAAAATCTAATTACCAACCCTTGGCCTACACAGAAAATAGTAAAATAGACCACTTCGATTTCAATCAGCTGCTGTATATGTATGTGTTACGGTGTCCTTACTATACATCCATGCTTCATAGTTCTCATCCCTTACATGCAAACAGTGTGCCAAAGACCGGACGATATTGGTAAATATTTTCCTTCTCCATTTGACATCGCAGTCAAATTAATAAGTTTAACCACCGATGCTGTGAAGCCAACAATTTCAGCCAATGGCATGCAGAAGAAACTCAAACTCAAGAAAGTATAACAGGCTTTATAGCAAAGCAAAACCAGTGTGGCTTGAATTCATTATGAACCATTCACTTGACACCAAAAAAACAAAAAGAAAAGAAGAAGCCATTCAACCGTTGCAACAGACAAATGTGCATTTAATTCTTAAGTCTAGTCAAGAAAAAAACCTCTGTTATAGCTATATATGAAATATGGTCCAAATCACAGAAAATAAGTCGTCATCACAAAAAGAATTTGATTAATAATGAGACACAGATATCTCATGTCATCACAAGAAAGAAATCCAGCTGCCCATAATACAAACAAAACAATCCTGTCAGCATCACTTTGTACATCTTTCCATTGCAATAGGCCAAAAAAGTAAATGAGACCTTGAAAATACAGAAGGTATGAACACATTCTGCGAACCTCAATTTAAACTAACAACTATGCAGTGTAGATACCAAACCTCTTTTACTAGGATCTGAGACCTTAAACTAAAACTTGTAATGCATGAATTGGCATCTCTTCTACAAAAATTGTAGCAGAAACAGATATGATACTTTGGACTCTATCTGAAGTGGAAACATGCAGACATTACAAGTGAAAAAGTATGAGAGGTAATATCTTTTATTGTCTCACCTTTGTTCTGCTGGCACCTCACCATGGTAATTCACAGTCGAGATCTGATTTTCATTGAGAAAGTGATCCACAGCACGGCTGGAACTTAATGTGTTACAGAACACCATCACTCTATTTCCCTTTGCCAAACTTGGCTCAAGAACCTGTGTTCACCATAAAATTTACACAAGTGCTTTATTGTTAGACTGCTACAATACAGAGACACGCTATCATGAAGAAAAGCTACATTAAGTCATGGGTACTTAAGCCAGGATTAAAAGAATACAGATCAATACCCGTATAAAATTCCAGGCTTCTTTTAGAAACAATTAAGTTAGATTAACTGCATAGATACCGTAAAATGTCTTTAATTTCAATGTCGTGATATGCCAATATGTACTTCTAAACTTCCTTTCTAACCAACAAATTATTCTCTATGCCATTCAGAGCTTTCAGGCACTATGTTATGTTCCTTATGTAGAAGAAACTAATGCATTTTAAAAGACGAAAAACTTCTATTTTCTAAAGCGGAAGAAACATATGGAAGTTTTTCGTCTTTTAACCTTAAGTTCCAAAAAAAATATGGAAGTTACTGTGTTCTGATTTTTTTGGAATGGCACAATCAAATCTGATGAACCATACCTCATTTCGGGGGGAAGAAACATATGGAAGTTTCGTCTTTTCTATGCCATTCCAAAAAAAATTCAGCTGCGATGCTGTGTTCTTACTGGGGAAGAAACAGCTGTATTTTAAGAAATTGTAGTTCCACCAATATGTTCACCAAGGAATATACATATAAACCTTTAAAATAACAATCAAATCAAAATAAAGAGAATGAAAAGACCAGCCCTTAAACTCAGAGGAAAGGTAAGCCTGCAAAGAAGACCACAAAGTAACTCCGTCTCATAAATAGTGCACATCCTCCCCTTTACACCTTCTAAGATTCTTCTATTCCTCTCCACCCAAAGGATTTCCAGAACAGCACATCTCCTATTACCAAACCTCTCTTCTTCCCTCCGAAAACCTTAAACCTATAACAAATTATCACAAGATCCCGGAATTGCCACTTAAATTGGTCTCTCTCATCAACAATCTTATCCAGCAGGACTATGCAACTGGGCATAGTTCACAATAAAACTTCAACTATTCAAACTCTCTATACATCTAAATCAAAAGCTTACGACTTTTTGTAGGGGCTTGTATCTCCAATGGCAGAGAGCATTCACCATTGGTAGTGAAATATACAGCTATCATGTTTGCGTTAACCTTCGGGTTTATCTGTTGACTTTTTAATACTAGGCGTCCCCAACATATTTATTAACTAATCGCTAAGGATGCACACAACCAATTGCAAAGCACACTTATCATGTCAGTAAAATCAAAACAGCATGAAATGGATCATTTCTTAGACTGCATTTCTTTACTCCTATAACTTTGTCAAAGTAAAGATTTGCTTCTTGACTGAAACTTTCATATCTATATTGAGCAAATTAAACAAAGACTTCCATGCATCCCAATGGTTTTAAGTTAACCTACATACAAATAGTGTGAACTGTAAATGGAAGATACTCTTCTTGAGATTAATTACATACTCTATTTTCAAATTATTCTTGTCAAGAGACATAACCACCAGTTGATAAGTGAAGAATGAAAAAGAGAAAGGGCATCACAGAATTAGACCTGTAACAATGCTTCCAGCTTGTTCTCAGAACCTGAAAGCTTAATGAAATCGTGTCGAGCAGATGCAATCTTTTTATGCAGTGAGGATGTGCGCAAATGCAATATTCCTTGAAACTCCTCATCAATCAGGGTTTGCACTGCCTGCAAAATCTCACGAGGTCAAGTCTTCATCGAAGACAATTTCAGCATAAGAAATTGGCTAGCTTACAATTGTCAAAGTTAAATAACATTTTTCTAAAGCAACTTCTGGGTTGATTTAGGTATGTAGAGTGGATGACATCTTCTTTAAAGGTTCCAATGTATCAATCAGGAAATTGATCGCCCCTCCCCGTAAGGATGTTCAGCTAAGATTAATTGTGCAACCAGCATTGTTAGGAAATTATTGGATATCTCATTAGAATCCATGTCTTTCACAGTTTGCTTCTTCAATTCTAATGGTGTAACTTATATAATCAAGTTGGAGAACTCTAGGGAAATTTAGACGTATAATCTGCTCTCTGCATTTGGTATGCATAAAGGATATTGCTATTATTTTTTCAACAAGTCATTCAATACCAAGAATCGTACTGAAGGCATTTTCTTAACACATCTCTGAGTCTACTGGAAAATTATTGGAAATAAACAAAAATTACTGAAAATCATAGAGGCAGGCTTTTGGGTATTTCTAATAATAGCTCATGGATATCTGTCCGTACCCAAACAAGCCCAAAGAAATGCTTCCATATTCATGTACAGACTTTTGCCCTTCCTATGACAATTCCCTTGTTATCAAATTAAGAAAATCTATCCCTGCATGAGCAATTCCAAAAGAGAACACGTACATATTCATGTAAAAGAAATTAACCCTCCTATGTCAATTTTCTTGATATTGTGTTTGGAAAACCTAAGTATATCATATGCAAATTAGAAGACAAATTCTAGATTAAATTACAATATGAGTGAACACGAGGCGTGCTACATCAACTTTAATACTATTGCAAATGTAAAAATCAAAGTTATATAAAACAAAATCAATTCTGGAAGCATGAACAATCATTACTCTTATTATGGCCACGGCGGCCTGGGGGGCATGGGGTTTGGGGAGGGTGGGAGAGAGAGAGACTCATTACATATTCACGAACAAAGCTTACTAGGCTCATTCATAGCCCCTGATTGGTGACCGTGGGAAAGGAACGCTTCACTTTCAATTGGTCTCTATAGCCCCTGATTATAATTTTAGCTTCTTAAGTATTAAATAAAATGGAAATGCAAGTCAGCACACCTTTGTCATTGTTGCAGAGACCAAAACAGTTTGGAACCCTTGACCATCAGGTTTTGATGCACGATGTTTTAAGGGGACAAGAAACTTGCGAATGTCTGGACCAAAACCACGATCAAACATGGTGTCTGCCTCATCCAACACCTACTAAGAGATAACCAACATCACAAACTGGAATAACAACTCACTAGAGTGTGGTTTTTATCAAAGAACTAAATAGATAAACATTTTCACATACCACATATTTGATGTCACCGTAAACCAAGTTGCCATCCTCAATATGTTGAAGAACCCTACCAGGGGTCCCGACTACCATTTCAATTGGGTTATTCAATGAATCCTCCTGGGGTCTCAACCGCCCTCCACCGCTTACCATAGTAGACCTGAATCTTGCATGATGACTGACAAACTTGGAAACACGAAAGACCTAAAAAACCCACCTAATGTCAATAGAAAATGCAGAGTCCATTGGGGGTGGTTCCAATTCTAAATAAACTATATAAGAACCTGCTCAGATAGCTCCCTTGTGGGGCATAGCACAACAGCTCGAGGACGCCTGGGCTTCATTTGAATCCCATTTTCTGCCTCGTCCCTTCTCAACAGCTACAAAAAACAACAGAGTAAAGCATTCCTCTGATTAATTCTAGTTGTAACATACGCATCAATATTCTGCTTTCTTTCAAAATAAGAGTGGACAACATCAATATAATGCATCATACTCTCACATGATTTCCTTTTTTTCATGAAAAATAATTTTTTTTTATATTTTGTTTTGATAGAATAACATTATCTATTAGAATGTATGGGTGCTTCTAAAAATTGGTGAAACTGTGAGCAAGTAGAGAAAAATCTAAGTAACCAAAATAATCCCAATAAACTGGATACGAAAAAATGGATTTTGGAAAAAAGGTGGATGCCAAGAAAGCACATGTGGCTCAGTACATCACATTTTAAAACCGACACAAATGTGGCATACAAGGTGGTAGAAAGAAAACACAATCAAATCAATATTTCAACATAACTTATCCAAATTCTCGAGCTTTACATCTGAAGAAAACACCAAATTCAAAAGTTTAACTGACCCACATAGTAAAAAGTAATCCAAGACAGTTTATTTAAAAGAAAAATCAAAGAAAAAGTACCTGGGCAAGAGGCAACATGTAAGCCAGAGTCTTGCCAGAGCCGGTATGAGAACCCAAGACCACAGTTTTCCCTTCCAGCACAGCTGGGATTCCAATACACTGAATTTCAGTAGGAACCTCAATACCCATCTCTCTCACAGCCGCCAAGACCTCCTCAGTCAGACCCGATCCCCCAAAATTCTCAACCTCCCTCTTCTTCTTATTCTCTGGCTTACCCAACCCATCCTCACTCTCTCTCTGGGCAGGCCCATTTGGATTTGCGCTTGTTTTGGTTTGTGGTTTAGCAGAGCTTTTGAGGTGCCTGAGTCTCAGCTTCTCAAGAAGCAATGAGTGCTTCAAGGGTTGGGTTTCTTGTTCTTCAGCTTCAATGGCACTTTCAGGGATAGAAATGGTTGTGGTTGTGGCGGTGCAAAGAGGCCTAAACCTTGTTAAAACCCTGGTGGTTTTTGGCAGTTTTATAAGAGAGAAGCGTTTGGCTGCTGGGAGGCGTGATAGAGAGAGGAGGTTTGAGGAGAGAGAGAAAGTGAGAAGGGTCCTTGCTACTCCTCCCATGGCTTTTTCCTTGCAATGTAATTTTTCAGTTTTCTCAGAAATGATGGATGGCGTATTTTCTTATCTCTGCGGTTTATGTCTGAGTTTGTGAAAAAACCCTTTCATAGTCCCCCGATGATAACCCGGGCAAACGAGTCGAGCCACTCGAGCCCCTCAGCTAAGTTTTGGAAAAAATTCAGTTTTGGTCCCTGTAATTTATCGGAATTTTCACTTTTGTCTATGTGGTTTTAATTCTAACAATTGGACCATTTGTAATTTGATATCCGCACTTCAAGAAACCATTTCAATTTTTGTTCAATTTCGTGACAGAGTAAGGACGTGCCGCTAACGTGGATGGGCATTTTGGACAGAATTTGCCCAAATTTGTAACGTGTCCTTAAATTGTGAGCTTGAATTGTAAGGGTTTAAAACTATATCAACTAAATTGACATAAATGTACTTACGGAGACTAAGTATGACTTTTTTCCTTCAATTATTACTATTAAAAAGACTAATTTGCCCTAACATAAAATGACTATTGAACAAATTAAAATTTATCTCTCCCCTCCATTGTTGAACAAAGTAAACACTAACCATTAAAGGCATAAAAAAATCACAAGAGTTGATATAAAAAAGCTTATTTTTTAAGAATGGCAACACTAAATCGTCTCTTTAGTGCCCCAAATGAGGTATGGTTTGATAACTTTTCATTTTCCATCAATTTTAACAAATTTAATATTGATCAGTTCGTGAGTTCGTTCGATACATCACACCCCCACCCCTCGGGTCAATGAACAATGTTTTTTTTTTTTGGAAGCATCAATGAACAATGTGTACCTGTTTAGTAGCCAGCAATTGAAAACCTTAAAAATATGGGTTATGCTAGGGAGACCAACGTTAGATACCAACTTGTGTATCATCTCTCTAATAGAGGTGGAGCCCACCAATACAATGGATCTCACACTCTATTAGAGAGATGATACACAAGTTGGTATCTAAAGTTGGTCTCCTTATCATTTTCCTAAAAATATTCACTAGCTTCTGCCAAATACTGGAGTTTCTTGTTTTGCCTCGGCAATGGTACTTGGTGATATCACTCACGGTTGTACCCTCTAAATTTGTTGCATCCTCTCAAGTGCCTGGTAGACATGAGCAAGACACTCTCTTAAGAGTGTTAGAGAGATGAAGCTATGTCACCGTGGTCGGTCGATCATGATCTCCGTTCACCATGGGGGATTTCACAAGTTGGGGAAGCTTTCACAATTTGAGGCTTTCTTTTAGATTGGAGATGGCAATAAAACTCTCGTATTTGATCATCAAAATAGTACAGTGGGTGGGCAATTACCAAAGGGAGTTTTTGACAAGTTTGGGTGGGTACTTTCAGTTAATTCATGAAATTTAAAGTTCGTGGGTGGTGCTTTCAACAAGGAATATGCCTTCAATAGATTGGAGGTGCTTTGATCATGATTTTATTTAGGTGAACTTTTTGTTTATATTCTTTTTCAATAACACTTAAAAGTATGTACATAATATGCTAGTAATGTGGTGTGCAATTGAAAATATGTGAAATGCGGGCATTAATACATAAAATTACATAAAACTCACAATGTATGGTTCCAACTGTTCCAGAAAACATCCTGCACCCTAAAGAGAAAGGAAGAAAAACGGTCTCCACGGTGCAGCAAGTTACTGAAACATGAAGGTTAGGAAGAAACAACAGGTATCAAATTATGGGTGGAAAAGAATGGAGTCTAAAATGGTGAATTATATTCAGTAAACATGCTACAGTAATTTCAAACATCATCTAAAGTTACATGCTGGAACATAAGTCCACCCATCTCCATTTTATCATCTCCTATTGCTAACAGTACAATGTTTTCTTCACGGTGGCTAGCAAATCATATCATTTATAATGCTCAGGCTTCAAAACACCAACATAAGGCAAGTTCCTGTAAAGTTCAGCAAAGTCCATTCCATAGCCCACAACAAAGTAATCTGGACACTGCAAAAACAAATAAACAGACGATTTTGATTGCTTTTAAGTGAGTTTCCACAGCGAAGCAAAACAAAACTTAAGACTTACAAAGACAATGAACAACACACAAGGGCCATGCCTGATGGCCTGCAAATAACATGTTACTTTCAAATAAATTCTCTCTGAGAGCATTTCAAGAGTTCTGCAGAGGAACATATAATCACACATCATCACAGTCGCTTATTCATGATTTCATGGCTGAAAAAAGTATCTTAATAAAGAATGACTCTACATATACCCGATAAACTAATAATACTGATCCAACAGATGATATAGCTTTGATGCACTAACAACAATCGGATTTTCGTCAAGATAACCAAAGGCTTAAGGCGCCATGCGCACACTCAAAGACGCAAAACAGTTATTGGAATCTCTTTCAAGAATATGTCCATTCCCCTCTTACTTTGGAAATAGACAAATTGTTTTTACACATAGGAAAATCTCAAAACATGTTTTGAGATGTTATCACACTATCAATCTGGGCTGGACCATTATTCGGGCAGATTCTTGTTTGTAATATATAATGATATATTAACAATCTGGCAACAGAACACATCAAATATCCTGCAAGCAGACATTACCTTGATACATATACATAAAGAGATTTTCTATTTAAACCCCACACTTCTCTTTGTTCACCCTAACTTCTAATTTAAATTTTCACAATTTCTAAGAAAACCCCACTATCTTCCCAAACTACCATTAAATATACCCCAAGTTGAAAAAATAAAAAATAAAAGAGTTTTTCTATTTAAACCCCACTATCTTCCTACTACAAACTATAGAAAAAAGCATATGTCTAAACTGAATAGTGGGGGAAAAGATGAAGAAGGCCCCTATTTTTTGAGAAGAAGATGAAGGTCCCTATGCTTGCCGCAAGACAAACCGACTCGCTAACTATTACAGTATATCGTTTACTGTCAATGGAAAGAGATCCTAGACCAAATAAAGATTTCTAAATTAGAAATTAAATGAGGAGATCTTTATTTGCATTGTAGACAAGAAGGTGCAACTTACTTCGGCAAGAAAAAATTTCACTTACACAAAGGTACAATAATCATCTACTATTTACTTTTGCGCATATAAGAAGTCAAGTAAATATAAAATTTTAAATAAAAAATCAGAACAACCAAGCAATCAACAAAGTGAAGAGAATAAAATCATTACAGCCAAGCAATCAACAAGCCTTTCCATCAGCTCCCACACAGATTTTAAAGAGGTAGGCTCCTCAACGTTGTACGTCTTTAAAGAGGAGTAATCTGGCAATAGGATGTAGAGGAGTTTGTATCTTTTTTAAACTTAATATGAAGAGTGGTGAGGTGTGTGGGGTGTAGATGTACTAGGGTTAAGTATTAAGTTGGATGACCTTCTTTGTCTTTTTAAATAATAGTAAAACTTACAGCTTAATGATTTAAGTATTAGGTGAACCTAAACACCATTATGTGAGATGAAAAAAAAAAATTGTCTGCCAAACAATTCAAAGTGGAATTTTGTTTAATATAAGAATCTACACAATAATCTGAAACATTTCCACCAAGCAGTCAAACTAATCATTTATCAAAAGACGGAATCGATCAACGGTTGAGTTGAGGTTCCTCTAAAATATTTTCCACATTCATATAAATTATTTGCAATAATTCACAAAACAGCAAAGGTAAAACAAGAGCAGGCACAAACATACACACAAAATTTAATAAAAAAATAGGGAGAAAACAAAAGAAAGATACATGCCTCGAAACCTCGGTAGAATTTTCCCTTGCTAAGGAGCTTAAAATGAACCTTTCGTCTAGATGGTTTATCAAGGAAAGTGCAGACTGACACAGAGGAAGCACCTTTTGCTTCCAAGTGTGCAATCAAGCAGGCAATTGTGCTTCCCGAATCCACGATGTCCTCAACCTAAAAGAAACGAAACGGCGTCATTTTCAAGCTTTAAAGAACATGCAAGCGATTATACAATTAGATTGCAGAGTACGGTAACTTCGTACCAGGACCACGTGGCGGCCGGATACGTCGAGCTTCAAGTCGGAGGAAATCCTGGGGGACCCATTGGAGACGGTCCCGGAGCCATACGATTCGGCGCGGATAAAATCGACGGTGACGGGGAGGCGGAGGCTCCTGGCCAAGTCGGCGAGGAAGAGAAAAGCACCGGTGGCGACGCCGACGAGGACGAGGGGCTCGGAGAGAGGGGAGTGGTCGGCGGAGATCTGGGCTGCGAGCTCGGAGACTCGGGCGGCGATTTGGTCCGGGGTCCACAGAACACTCTCTATGTGAGAGTCCAAGGACATTTTTTAGGTTTTTTTTTTTTTTTTTGGTGCCCTCTCTACCCTTCAGACTCTTTCAGATTTTGGGGTTTAATGGGGGGGTTTTAGGAGATAAACGACGTCGTACTGTTTGTGTGAGTACTACCATCAAATAATATGATTATTTTCTACATAGGCTTTAATATATAAAGCAAAAGGCAAAAGAATGGTAAAACATTTAAAATACTAAAAAATATCATTGGTTAATCAAAACATCAAAACATCAAGAATTGAAATTATTAATTAAATTAAGATAATATGGTAAATTCACACTTTTTCATATTAGAAAAATTAAAATTAAAGAAAAATCAGATAGTGGGTTACGGTTGATCAGTCACATTCGGGTCCAAAAAACTTGTGGTCACCCACCATTGGATTTAATCCAATGGCTGAGAAAAAACTTTAAAATATCTTTTTTCTTTTACTTTTTAAATTGGATAAATTGCCTTAAACCCTCCTGAACTAGGACCCCAATCAAACTTAACCCCTCTCAAAGTCAGCCAATTGAACACTCAAATTAATTAAAATGGCCAAGGCCCTCAAAGATTCCTAGAGTGAACCAGAGAGGGTAAAATCGTCATACCAAGTGCCAATGTGAAATATGTTGATGGATTTTGCACAGAGACAAAAAATTAAAAATAATGCAAATCCTCCCCACAAACACAATCAGGTTTTCTTGGAACCAATCACTTTATATATATATATATATATATATATATATACATATACCTGATGCTCAGGGACTAAACTGTCATAGGGAACATCTATCCGGCTCTGTAGTCTCAGTAGGCATTCCTCCTGACAA